TTATTATTATTATTATTATTATTATTATTATTATTATTATTCAGTGGAGTTCTCCCATCCCATTACTAAACAGGGATGATACTACTTAGCTTCCTAGATCAGACAGAATCTGTTGCCTTTAGGGCATTGGTTCCCAAACTTTTGTCCTATTGAGGTTTTGGACTTCAGCTCCCCAAATTCCTGACTGTTGGCCAAGCTAGCTGAAGCTGCTGGGAGTTGAAGTCCAAAACACCTGGAGGATCAAAATTTGGGAATCATTGCTTTAGAGTATTTAGGCCCTTTTAAAGTGTTGTCTAACCATTCACAATTGATTTAGTCTGTTTCCTCAAGCTGGGACTAGCAATTGCATTTAGACCATAATGTACTGCTAAAATTTACATATTAAGGTTTTGTTCTATGATATTAAGAGACTCCCTTTTTGTTGTATATTGTTATATAATATATAAGATTTCCATTAGTTTTTGTCTGGAATTACTGTATTTGTTTCTCTTTGTGGTTTTATTGCAAATTACCAAAAGCCATATATGTAAGAATTTTAAACAAATTTCAAGTATATTAATTTTCTTCTTAGTCACTGGAATCTGTCCTGCGGCATCCTACGGATAATCGGACTCAAATCCGGGAGCTTGGCCAAACGCTTATTGATGGAGGGATCCTTGATGAAATTATCAGTGAAAAATTGGAGGCTTTCAATGCTCGCTATGAAGAATTAAGCCATGTGGTAAGAATTTGGGTGCTTAGAAGAACATTTGTTCTTCTTCATGATCTCTGTCATTCTCACATATGCATTCTCTGTCCTCAGAACCTTTTGCTCATGCACTTTGTCTAGGAATGTATTTCTTAATTAAGTTTCTTCTTGAAGGAAGCAACAAGTGATTTTAACAGTATTCTTCCTGCTGTGAGGAAAGTTTTGAACATCATACAGTTCTCAAACCTATTTACACTTTGGGATTTGTTCTGTGTAAAATTTGCATGTGGTTGCTTTGCACAAAAAACAGCATTTTCTGCACCGGAAACAGAAAAAAATGTTTTCTATTCAGTCAATGCTGTATTATTTGTAAATAAAACATGCAAATTTTGCACAGAATAAGTCCTCAATTACAGCACTTTCTGGGCAGAAAATAACTGATCAGGAGGGCTTTAAACTGAACTGTGTGGGGAAGGGAGACAA